TTTATACAGTATATATATATAAAATAAAGCATTCTGGAAGCTGGTAAAGAAAGTTACTATCCTTTAAAATAAGTTGTCAAACAAACAGTACTCATAAATTGAGCTAAATCTTCTGATTTTTATCATAAGGAGTATGTATTTGTATTTTGTGCAGTGATGACTCTTTCAAAGCACATATAGAGTTTTTGAAAAGTAAAGGCATAGCTGGAGTTAGTCACCACAGTTTACTCTTTTCCAAGACAGCGCCAGTTCGAGCTGATCCTGAGGATAGGTAATGCTTCGTGAACATTGTCCTTCTTTAGGTGATAGGCGAGCTTGTGGGTCAACCGGCTTGCACCATACTGTTAAAAATGGGTCAGTCCATGTGGGCCTGCATAATCCAACGGGTTAAACTTAGACAGGTCGATTCCAGGCTGGCCTGCATTTTTATTTTTATTTTTATAAATTTTTTGCTTGTTAATACTTTTTAACATGTTATTTTTCCACTCAAATAATTAAAATTATTACGAATGATATTTAGCTTTTTGTAGATTAATGGGCTGATCTGTGAACTTATTGGGTATGTGGATCAACTCGCATAAGCCAAAAATTAAAAATGCACTTACGTTTTTAGGCTCAGGTCCGTAATTTTACGGGCTTTACTGTTACAGCCCAATCTCGTAATACAAAAGCCGTACTCCCAGCTCTGTTTAGGTGTATGCTCATTGCTCATAATTGTTTACTATATTGGAATTTAATGATTTGTAGTGAAATAATGTTGTTCCGTCAGAGGGCTACAAATGTGATTTTTGTTTCATGTGTTATTGTTGTTTTATACCAAATGTATTGCTGAATTTTCCTAGAGCGTTTTATGCCACTAACTGAAAGCTGAACTACTGAATTTGAAATATGAAGCTCCATACCGTTTATTGTTTACAGTATGCTTTTAACTAGTTTATAAATATGCCGAAATTTGAAATGTGCTTATTGTTTGGATGTTTGTAATTACTATTTATATGTTTACCAATTGCTTTATACCAAAAGTTCCATCAATTACAATGGTTGCAGGAATCATGGAACTAAATATATTGGAACTTCAAGATCATCTTCAAATGAGCATATTGCTGATGGGTATGATGCCTATCATTACACTTTTTTAGAAATTAAATGATGCTTTTGGTTTTGATTTGATTTTTTTTTTCTTTTCATTTTTGCTTTAAACTAGGACCGAGTTTGCATTTAATCCTAAGGATGTTAGGACCAACAAAAAGAGTTATTCTCCTAGCAGTGCTGGTAAATTGACTGAGTCAGAAATCAAGGATAAAATTAATCGCTTCTCTCAAACACTGTCAAATACGGTATGTTTTTTTCTTAGGCAGGCGCATTTCACTTTCATATCTGAATATTATTCGTTATATCTTTGTCACGTCACGTATAGTAATTTAATTCCACTTTTTACTATCGGTGACCAAAACGTTTCATGCCGTCCAATGTGGGAGATGACTTCTTTTGTAGTTTATACTTTATAGGATACTGTGGACTGATTTTAGTATATCTTTTTAACCTTTTCAGGCGCTGATTTCTAGATTACCTGACAAGGGAGAGAAACTACAGAAACGGCTTGTGGAGCTGAATTTAGAGCTCGCTGAACTCGAGAGGGGAGAAACAAATGTAGTTGATTTGGATGATTTTACCACTGAATTTCAACGGGTGTTAAATGTATAGCTTATCCATAAAATTGTTACAACTGGTATTCCCTTGGGTCGTTTGCTCAAATACAAAATGATTTTGTTGGAATCTACTTGTTGAAAGAAAAGAAAAATAGAAATGATCGTTTCTTAAGGAATCGATACTACGAAACGTATTTCGAAAGGTGACTATGAATCTATTTGTAGATTTAAATGGTTCTGTTTCAGCAATGCGCTATATTATATGAAAGGTTTCTACACGAATTTGCTTACGGAACAAATCTATTAATTTTTTAAAATAAAACTGGATTAGAAATTGGCACAAAGATGCGGGTCAGAATTGATATTCTCCTTTTGTATTTATGAATTCGTGACAAGCATTTTCCTTTCTCTTTTGTTTTGTTTTCAGTTTTAGGTTTATTGAAAAGGGTGAGACCAGAGATATGCTGAATGATAAAAGAAAATAATTAAACGATTATCGATGAGTTTATTCAATAAGTTTTATGATATGGAGGTTTATACAGTAAATTTTGTTATGTAGTTATTTTTTAGAAAAAAATAGGTTAAATACCTATTTTTGTCCCTTATAATCTTTTTTTATTTCAATGTAGTTTTTCATTTATTTTTGTCTCAATTTGGTCTCAAATTAATTAATTGGTTTCAATTTAGTCCCAAATTAATTAATTGATTTTAATGTGGGACTTCCGTCCAAATTATTTAAACGGAGTTAACTTTTGGGCACGTAGATGCCACGTAGATGCATATGTGGATGCCACGTGGATGACAACTTTTTTGAAAATACCTGGACCCAGAACGGCCCGTTCTAAAACCGGAACGGGCCGTTCTGGTTGCACTTTTGGTGTGTTAATTTTGCATCCGGAAACGCCCGTTCTAGGTGCAAAATTAACACACTCATCCTTTTTTATATATAAAATATTAATAATTTTATAAAATATATATTATTAATTATATTTTAATTATGTTGTTATATCTAATAAAATAAATATATTAATATTTTTTTATATTTTATTTTATTATGTTTATCTTATTAATTTTTATCATTTTATTCCTCTAATTTTAAATAAGTTGCAAAAAATTATAAAGTGATACTTAAATATTTCTTCAAACAGAAAGAGAAAAAGAAAAAATTATTACTCTATTTATAAAACAATTGTATTTTATAAAAATAAGTAATTTTAAAATTTTTACCATAAAAAAATATTTTTCAAAATTATTATATTTTTTAATAAAATTAATAAAGAATATTGGTTTAATTGCATTTTTTATCCCTCAAGTATTACAATTGTGCAGTTTTGATCCACAAGATTTTAATTGGGTAATTTTAGTCCTTAAAGAATTGCAATTCGCGATTTTGGTCCTTCAATTTTTAATTGAACAATTTTAGTCCCTCGAATATCATAATAGTACGATTTTAGTTTCTCCCATTAAAAATTAATAATAAATATATATCACTTGATACATTAAAAAAAATTATAATATACGGTAATTTAAATAAGCAAACAATTATATAGTTTTAAAATATTATATATATATATTAAAATTTTTGAAATTATTAAATTTTTAATGAGAAAGACTAAAATTGTACAATTATGATATTTGAGAGATTAAAATTGTTTAATTAAAAATTGTGAAACTAAAATTACACAACTAAAATCTTTTAAGGACTGAAATTACTCAATTAAAACCTTAGGGATCAAAATTGCATAATTATAATACTTGAGAGATCAAAAACACAATTAAACAAAGAATATTCTATTCTCAGTTTTGGAACGGGCCGTTCTGGGTCCAGGTGTTTTCAAAAAAATTGTCATCCACGTGGCATCCACGTATGCATCTACGTGGCATCCACGTGCCCAAAAGTTAACTCCGTTTAAATAATTTGGACGGAAGTCCCACATTGAAATCAATTAATTAATTTGGGACTAAATTGAAACTAATTAATTAATTTGGGACCAAATTGAGACCAAAAATAAAAGTGAGACTGCATTGAAACAAAAAAAAATTATAAGGACCAAAATAGGATTTTAGCCAAAAAAAATTTTTTTAAGAAGTTTTAGTCATAACTCATAAGCTATTTCTTTAAAAAAATTCAAGTCTCGCAAACTCTTACAAGTGCTCTTTATGCAATTTTTTTTCTTTTAAGTATCGAAACTAAGAATTTATCTTTATGAAACATGATTTTTACTGATGAAATATTATTTTAAATAATAAAAATTGAACAAAGATTAGAATCGAGAAGCACCGATCACTAGATTACAAACACATGGGAGTCTTGTGTGTTTAATAAATTACGAACACTAAATAATTTAATTTTGATTTCTTAAAATTAATTACATACACAATATTTTATTTTATTCAAATACTTTAAACTCATTTTTATCTGATTTTACTTGAATTAATTATGGTTTTTCAATATCATCAAATATTTTTAGTTTTGTAAATTTATAAGTAACTGACACGGAAGATGCTAGGCAAGGAATCAGCAACATGAAAATCTTTTCTACATTGATTCTCTTGCAGTTTGTGAAAGAGCGTGAAATGGATGAAGTTTAAAAAAATAAAAAGAGAACATAGGAAAAAATTCCAAAGTTAAGTTGTTGACGCAACTCCTTTGTTCCTATGTTGATGACACCAGAAGGTGACAGATGGATGTAGTGTTAATCACAGTTTGAGTTAAGTGGGTCGTTTGAGTTGACTTACCTTTCCGATGAATTGGAATTCTTGCCTTTTCCACCACAAACGCGTTTCACAATCAAGAGAATTTTGCACTTCGTAACAACCCAACTCACTTCAGGTAGGTAAGTGTCTCTGTCATTTAACGTTTGTTAGACTGAGACTCCATAATTGAAGATTACTTTGGAAGATTCACAATTTATGTGTCCAATTTAGTTCAATTCTTCACCATCAAATTTCAGTTGTTGAAAAGGGTCCGTGATGTTGTCACCTGATCCCTGTGATCCAAGCTTGCTTCTGTGTCTACCAGATGATGTTTTTGGCATGGTGTCAGGGTTCCTTTTGCCCAGAGATGTGTGCAATCTCAGTCTCTGCTGCAAGAGTCTCTATGCTCTTGCATCATCTGAAAAAGTGTGGTTCACTCAATGTGACATGCTTCGGGTAGTGCCGCACAAAGACCTTGTTGAGTGGAGAGAGGGTGTGTCATCTTACAAGGCACTTTGCCGTTTCCTTTTGAGTGTTAAACCAATGCTTGGAATATGGGTTTATCAGAATCCTGAGCTTGGTAACCTTGTCTATGTTATGCCTGGTTTTGTTTCAGTTGTTGGGTGTAGGATAATTCCTCAGGAGCTTGGTCCATTGGGGATTCATGATGGTCCTATCCTTTGGTCATCTGTGTTTGAGGTTATTGGTGATTTTGATGGTTCAACTACCTTTTTTCTCCATGGAAGGGAAGAGGGAATAGACTATGTTTATGGCGGCTCAGTCAAGTATATAGATGAATCTTGCAATATGTTATTGCTTGAGGTTGAACCTAGGGAACATGATTATTATCGTAGTACTTTGTTGCAGAGTAGGTGCTTGCATGAATCAACATCAGGAAAGGTTTGTAGGTCAGACCGTGAGGTTTCTAGATTACAAAGGGTGAATGGAAATAATGAGGCAATGGTTCCCTTCAGCAAGTTGGCTTTTAGTGATAGAAGAAAGTTGCTTGAAGCCACTGTTGGCCTAGTTCGACAAGATGTTCCTAGTATGGCAGCGGGACCATTGTTTCCTAGGTTGAGAGATGATGGTGACAACTTAAAGAAAGATTTGGTGCTGTTGAAGGAAAGAAGAGCACACCTTTGTCAAATGTGCAACCATGGTGGTCAGATTGACAATGAGGAAATTGCTCACGGGGTAGTTGGTCCAATGCAATTAGAGCTGGATGACATGAGAAAGAGTTGTATCTGGTCAAAGGACTTCTCTGATCTTATGAACAAGGGGGATGTTCACACCCCATGCACCAAGAAAAAAAGTCTTGGTGGATATTTCTGGGGTAGCTTCAAACAGATCCTTGGAAAATCTAGTTCAGTTAATGAAAGTCATGCAATTTTCAAGAAGCTTACTTCAAGGCGTGAGATAAAGCACGCAAAGCTTGAAGACTTTCTTAGATCAGGCGATGCAATAGGACTAACATTAAAGGCCTCAACTGTAATATTATCCTCTTATCGAGCATGGCCGAATATGCCTGATAATTTGTTTGCACTTTACAAGATGCCATTGCGAGCTCCAACAGCAGATCAAGTTTATGCCGGTTTGTGGGGGGGAACGTTTGGTTGGCCTCCTGGAAAACCTTCTGAAGACAAGCCTGGAAAGGCCCTATTCTTTCTTCTGCTCTCGTATGAGGAGTCCCAGGATCAGAAGCTTCTTATTGCAACAAAAATATTGGAAGGCACTAACTATGTCTTGCATCCTAATGGTTCAGCAATGTTTACTGTGTATATCAATGAGCCTTCATCTGAACCCTTTCCCTGGGACATCAATGAAGACTCCTTGTCAGTGGATATCAAACATGCTTTTACAGGAGAGGGTATTTCAAACGGTTATGGGTTCAGATACCCTGGATCAAAGCCTGGCTCACTCTTTGTATTTCAAAATGGTGTCCTTGCCTTTGTTTGGAAGGACAGTAGGAATGTCTTGAGTTTGCAAAGACTTGACTTGCAAGAACTTTTGAAGAAAGGAGAAAGAGTACCTTCTCTTCCTCCCATCAACAATTTTTCATATTTAACCAAGTCTTACTCAAATGTGTTTACAGGCTTTCCTGGCTCTTCCACTAGCTTGCTTTCACCAAGGTTTGACTAAACCCTGACATGTCATCTTCTTTTACATTTCAAAATTTTCCCCCAATCATGGCATGTCCTCCTTGATTCATGATTTGCTATAATACAATAATGATGGAGATATTCATTGTTTTACGTAGCCTAATAGTAATATCGCACCTGTATTTAATGATTACTCTCAACAATTTGGTATAGCAGTAATGTATCAGACTGTGAGAAGTATTTTGCACATAAGTTTTAGTTATAATGATGTATGGACTGGTGATAAACAATTCCTATTTGTTGGACCTAGGACATTAGTATGATTATTAAACTTGAGAGAAAAACAAAGTTTATTGGTGATTCTGGGAAAACAAGGAATGAGGTCACCAAATAACTGTAAGCCTCTCTTTGTCTATAATAAGATAGTGGTAAAGAAATGGAAATTCTAGTGATCTAGAAACAAATGATTCTGTGTAGAAAACACTTATGTACTTTCTTAGACACCCCCTTAGTTCTCTGTAGGCAGACAGATAAAAATGTCCTGCCTATGGGCATTTTAAGATGACATTTATTTTGGCTATTGCAGATGTTAGATGTTACATTAATTGACACCATGTTATTGCATAGTATTGACAACAATCTTCACAAACTAGGTGGATTCCCATTTAGTGCAGATATAAACAAAATGCTGAAAATGACTAGAGATAGAAATATGCTTAATATCTGGATATGAAAGAATTATATCCTATATCTTCTAGCATGCTCTGCAACAAATGGACTATTCTGTTGGTATGTGGTTTTCCACGTCCAAAGTGAAGCTATCTGAGATAACTTTTACATCACAATCTTGAATATGCAAACAAACTTGCACTTACGTTGCTTTTCTTCATCTTGAAATATATCAAGATATCAATTTTGAAATGTATGCAGCTAATATCTATGGAAGATTGATATTAATTGCTAGTTACTTGAATGTTTGTCTTGACAGGTAAAGACAACACTAGCATATTTATGGTTTTGGGACTACATGGTTTTAGCCCTATTTCAAATATTATAACATTTTAACAAGAGGATCATAAACTTCTTGACGTCTGTTGCTGGAGTTGCATTGCTTTTGGTTGTCACACAGAGAATACACTTCTTGCTGTTGGTTTCATGTTAATACTAGTGCCTTTTTAAGATCAAAGGTGGACATATTCTGTCTTATAAAGTATTATTATTATGTATTATCTTTTGTAGTAAAGTATTCTGTAGTTGTATACGCTGTTGCTTGTTACACAAATAGTAAAAACTATATACTATATATATCGAATATCCTAATGAAGTTTTGTTCTACATTTGATATAAATTGCATGATACTTGCCCTTGTGCACCAGACAGAATACGTATCATGAACATAATAGCACATAGTCACATTCACAAACTCGTCTAAAACTTTAGCATATATATATATATATATATATATATGTGGAGAGAGAGAGAGAGAAAAAATGATCTACTAACTTCAAGAATAAGTGTTGATAGAGTTACTCGACTTAATAATTCATTATATACATCAAATCTTAACAATTTAACCATCTAATTAAAAGTTACTTATCATAAATTAAGTCTACAAATTTTTGCAAAATTTTAAAATGATTTAATACTTTTTTATATAAATTAAATTCAAATTAACGTATAATATATTTTTATAAATAATCATTAATCTAAATTAATATAACAAAATAGTAAATAATTTTAAAGTTTGGTAAAAAAATTGAAAATTTAATTAAGAAATTTTAATTTAACAGTTAAATTATTAAAATTTAATATAGATCATTACTTATTCTTAGAGTAAGTGAATCTCACACTTTATTACATATATACATACATACATATATACATACATACATATATAGCAAT